CCGACAGCACGGCCTTCGTGAAACATTTGTTGGCACAGGCACTGATTAGCGGTACGCTGACTCCATATGGAACATCCATGTCTTCAAGAGTTACGGCAACATTCTAAAACAAAGTATATTTGAAGTAGTCGAAACTGAAACACCCCATACATATTGTGAAGCACTAAATGCAAATGAACTTAAAATGAACAACAGACTTGTAAGAATGCTGACGTCAAATTTCAGGTTCTTTTGATCATGTTCAAAAACATGAAATGTACTATAACGCTTGTCTACTGATATTCTCAGGCATAATGAAGGAGTATTCCAGGCTACTGCATCGATCGGTAATGTTGATATCTAGGATTAGCAGAATCTCTGCAGAAGAAGTTGCTGGGAGAATAACAATTGCAGCTGTCTGACGCCTGAGGCATAGCATATTGGATGATGACAGTAACCCGTTGCACACAAAGATTCAGCGCGCACTGTCCCTGCATCTGGACACCCGCAGCCGGTTCAAGGCATTTCCAGCACGGACAGCTCTGCACAGGCGATCCATTCTACCATTCCTGGCAATGACTCTGAGACAGCCAGAGCTGCAAAAACAATTGCTTTTAGGTAATATTCTGACTTGCCATTAACCTTCTGTGTATATTTCAAGGACCCATTTAATGCTATAGTAAGGGATCCACCTATGTTGAGAGTATCAACCGATGTATAAGCTAATTAACTTGATTTGACTAATGACTGGTGGAGCAAAATGCCTCAACAGCAAGGTGCAACTGAGGATTAAACCGCTTATCTTATTTCAAATTAACTATGTACATCACTAATCAGGCAGATTCTGAAGGATTCCATAACGACACGGACTCCATAAGATCAACCATTCTGCCCTTTGAATGGAAATTTCAGACAATGTTCATCATACATTCGTTCAACCAGAATTCCATAAAAGTTCGTCAGCAAGTAGTTAATTTTATAAGAAAGTTTTCATGCACTGAGTTTTATAGCTCTTCACCCATTCTAACTTCTGCGTAGTTCTTAAGTGACGGTGAGAGCGTCAAACTTACTGAAGAATTTCTGTTCTGTTCACATATCTGTTCTGCCACATTTTATTGGGCTTCTTATGGATAACCCCTATTTGTTCTCAAATCGATAACTTCGATCTTAGCAGCTGTCAAATCTACATAAAATATCTAATACAATGTAACTTTTTGAATGACTCTATCACAGTGTTAAATTATTAAATTATTGTAGCACATACCTCCATGGGAAATCCAAGAGGACCACATGAGGCAGCAGAAATGCAACCGTCTTTAACAGCGTCAATAAACCTTGGCGGGTATTGGTCAGACAAGGATTTTTCTGCATGTTTTTGTAAGACATGAATAGCGGTCAAACTGTGGGCGTTGGGGTCAGGTGCAACAGATAAACGCAAAAAGACCATATGTTGTTTGCCGCCGATTGTCTCATTTAGGCTGTAAGTTGCAGAGCCAGGAACGTTAATGTTCTCCTTGTAGTTGACGAAAAGTTTTCCCAAGAATACCTTCAACTTGAACTCTTTCAGAAGTCTGTCCCTCAGAACTTCGATATGCAATTTTCCCATTCCTTCTACGACATGTTGCTGTGACGATTCATCGAATCGGGCTTTCATACTAGGATCTTCTTTCATTAACTGATTTAGAGCGGTTTCCATTCTCGACTGCATGGATGGACTTTCAGGTTCGACTGAACAGTAGAACACTGGTGATGGACTTTGCACCCCGATCAGCATTATTTTATCTTTCTCTGAAACATCCACCGCACTGACATCTGGCAGTCCAGCTTCAGAATCTAAATGAAAGATAATGTAGCTCACTGTGCATTAGTTAAGAATTAATCACATCTACAAATTATAACAATTGTATGAAACCTAATATGTTACTGTTGCCATGCCATGTCAATATGTAAGTGACCAAACACGTAGATGAACAATAGAAGGGCATTTCTTCGGTTGATCACGGTTCGGGTTTAAACC